CATTCGTCTCTTGATTCTTACATAACTACCATACTACTGACAATTCATTAAAGTATTTCGGTAGTTCCTTCTTCTCTTTTTATATATCATGTAACGTAGCAACTACTTGATTTTCGATTAATTACTTTGATTATTATTATAATCCTCTTTCTTTCAATTACTCATTGTTAATTGATAATCGACTTATCATTATATAATTATTACATAACGTATCCACTCGATGAGTATCATTTCATTATTGTAAATCGTATATATAATAGTGTAGAGCCATGATGAAAAACTAATTTACTTTATTTTGTTCATAACCATACTACATTATTGATCATTATAAGAAATAGTAGTTCCTTTATTATAAACATTAAGTGCTATAGACTGTAAGCAACTGACAAGAACCTAACAAATTAAAATGAATTCATTTCCTTCTACTTAAATCTTTACTCTTGCTTTCCCTTCAATGTAACATGTGAATCAATAACACAATGAATCAAACATTCAATCTTCAATTATTAGGTCGAAAATCCAAACTATAATCAACTTCCTTTTGGTTAGATAAGCTCTGAGTTCAACTGTTTGATTTCAAACCCTTCCTTGTAGTTCTTATAGAAATCGAACACTACGTCAAGTTTTTGTTTTCGGCTGGTATAATGGAAAACTTCAGATAGGAAACACTCCCTTTATATTAACTTTTCTAATATTTGTGAAAATATCTATTTTCATTTTGTTCAGCATTACAAATATTAATTAGTCTTGCATACCACTGAGGATCAATCTTGGAATTAAGGAACTTCCTTTCAAAGCAAAGAGATATGAATTGTAGGCCGAATATATGTAGTTTCTATAGCCATACACTCAAATTAATGCTTTAACGATAATAACCTACCGATAGATTTTAAGATGATACATTTAAAGTACTACGTAACGAATTATTTGTTGGCTTAAACATTTAATAAGATTCAAATGGTATACCGTTTTATGACTTTCTAAATGAGGTAACAAGAGATTTGTGATTTCTGCCGTTAACTATTTTAAGCATAGTTTAATCACGGTTGACACTGGCATCTAGAATGCCCGTTTCGTCCAATTTCATACGCGTCAACTGAATGAATTTGCATTTCAATGTTTATGTCTACACCGGAGCTCGATCCCAGTGCCTTTTGTTCCATGTACCCAAAGCACTATTCACATAGCTTCTTAGTCTAGAGAGACTGCTTGAGATGGAGTCTAATTCATTGGTAAGGGTTAAAATCACACATTTTTAATGTTATGAACATCATTTGTTCATTCACTCTTTCGACACATAAACATTTTGAGTGGATCCTGCAGATGATGCCCTAATTCGAAGAATTCCGCCATCCACCACTATCCAACTTTGTTTTTAAAGAAAAGCCTGTGACTATAAGGTAATATCGCTCAGGAAGCACATAATCCAAAACGGAGTCCGATTGATTGTAGTTCTTAATATCAATAACGGGAAAATTCTTTCCTTAACAATTGAATAAATAGTCTCATTTTTATATAACGTACTATGTTAATTTGTATCATCCACCCAGGATCTCCTATTAGTCACATGAAATCTCTACAATACACATCGTTATAGGGTTAAATCTGTATATCATTTAATTACTAGTCTACTTCAATCATTGTTACATAAAGGTAATCAATATTATCATGACTAGTGGGTGAATCATAGGTTATTTTTATGTTGACCTATTTTATAGATGGAATTGTGTTTATCACAAAAGTCGGCTATCAAAATGGTTGGTAATATTCGGTAATTTTAGACAGCTAGATATATGGGAACATAAACTTTCCACATCATATCCAATGTCAGTTGTATTAAAATGCTAACTGAAAATGTTAATTATAACAGCCGAATAAATTAAGATTATCAGTTTAGGGTGTGTGAAGATTGTTAAGTTTTTGATTGAAATCATGAGGCAATTGAAGCTAGATCACAATGGAAAACCTGGAAGCACTGGACGACCGTTTCGTCCTAGTATGGGACTACTCAACAGCGCACATCCAGAATCCCACCTCACGAGATTCGAACTCAGGACATATCAGTCTCGCGCGCGAACGCTTAACATTTAGAACATTGAGCTGGCTGGCATCCAACGGGGTTAATATTTAACATCAACCAACCCACGAAGTTGCGCCACCATCCACCAGTGTCATCAGTAAGTTACTATCTCACAACAGACCTGGTTGAACTCTACTAGTCACAGCTTCTCACTGGAACTCCAGGAAATACATCTTGGAGACTGTCATCAGTGAGCATATGACGATTATAATCAGAGAGGAATTTTATGGATATTATAGAAATTTAATAGTTGAATTCATGATTATGATGCATTATTTGCTGGATGATAAGTATTGTAATGATCCAAAGCTTATTAAACAGTTTGATTATAAAACACCAAAATATGATGAAAATACAGCAATATTTACAAGTAACTAAAAGATAAAGAGCAAATGGTAACTGTTTCACTGTGTTTGATTTCAAACTATATTTCTAACCATGGATAATAGCTACTTTGCTTAGGCCAATCTGATAATTTGTGACTGTCTATACAAATCAAAGATCAAGCTATTGACTTTATGAACTTGACATAATTCCCTCACCCCCATCCCTTCAAGTCTTCCAGCCTGCTCCTAATCAAATCTGAATAACGCATCTACATAGGCGTTGACTATGTACCGCTAACATAAACCTGATTAGATGAATCAGTAGGATTAACAACTTTCTTAGTTTATTTAAGAGTTCTGTGTAGAACTTTAACCCGCATCTCAACGATACACACAATATAGTCCCATTGTACACCAGGAATAATTTAAGGACACATAATTAAATAATTGGAAAATTTACAAGTCTCCTGCTTTTATTGGCAGTAATTCACAGTTGTCAGATGATACAAAACATAGTTCTTGTATAAAAGCCAGATAAACTTCTAATCTACTACATATTTAGAACAAATTAGCAAAAAACCACGACTAGTTTTTGTTAGATCTCTGACTACCATAGTTTATTTATTGATCTACTTTGAGTCTGAAACCTGATTGAGTTTACGTTCCATTTTGAACAAGTATAACATACTGACTAGTCTCTCACAGTTTCTTTATAAATAACCAGCGTTCGCGCGCGAGACTGACAGGTCCTGGGTTCGAATCTCACAGGGTGGGTTCGAGGGTGCGCACTTCTGAGGAGTCCCACAATAGGACGAAACGACCGTTCACTGCTTCCAGGTTTCCAACGATAGTTTAACATTAATCGGTTCATGATTTCAATCAAAATAATCCTTAAGTTGCCTTCTTATCAATACAAAAATATATAAATTTTGTAACATCTGCTTAATAATAAAGTTTTGAAGAGATATGAGGATTATCAGGCAACTTAATTATGTATACGGGTCAATAAGTGATCGATAAAATACTACCGACAATAAATCACCAAATAAACATTAAACTGGTCACTATTAAGTGGTCAATTAATTGTAAATATTTCAGTCATAGAGCATGTCAGTTGTGGCCTGAATATCATGTTTGTAACGTTTCAGACTGTGAAACTGGACCATGCAGGCTCAAACTCCAAGGAGGACATTAGTTCCTTAAAACTTAGGGGTTTCCTTTGCTGATATGTGCCAAATAGAACCACAGTTTCATTTTTCCAACTTCAAACTAGCTAATAACACACGTCATACTACTTTGTAGATAAGTTGCATATATGTTTACAAAACTTTTAGATTACATAAAGCTATTCATTGGTATTGTATGATAGATGAACTCATTTGATTGAAACCTTAACATAAAAAGAAAATAAACACATACTCACTAATAACTGACCACAAGAACAATTCTAGAGACTCTGTTGTGTAGCTGTGATTGATGAAGTTTGACATATTACGAATAGGTCCGTTGTCATTGATGGTTATAAATGCTAGTTGAACCTTATAGTAGATTAATCAAGTTTACAAATGAAATACTCTTGGGTGTTAACTTAATAATATAAATTTATTGCGATTGCATAAAGATCTGAATGTTTAGGGTTCAATCTGTGATGAAGTATTACGTTGAACTACAAAGCAATTCCATTCTGTGAAGAAAAACCAGTTTTGGAGCTTCCTGGTTTATAATGATTTTCTAACTGATGTTGATCCGTAGTGCAAAACAGTATAATAATGTAATGCAGATGATTACTTTAATCAAGTCTTTAAAATTGAGAAACTTGCATAGAACTAAATGATTAGTAAAAAGAATTAAACCTCTGTCGTGGTCTAATTATCAAATGTTAAAATATAACTGTGATAAAGAATAGGCTATTTTCTGTTCAGTGTTGATAACAATTGATTTGTTACGAATTAAAAGTTACTTAAACATTCATTTTTAGTAATTCGTGAGTCAATTGAAGCTAGACAACCATGGAAAACCTGGAAGCACTGGAAGGTCATTTTTTCCTATTGTGGGACTCCTCGGCAGTGTGCATCCACGATCCCGCCTCGCGAGATTCGAAACCAGAACTTACCGTTGTCTCACGCTAGCGCTTAACCGCCAGACTACTTAGCTGACCGGCATTCAAATGTGTTAATGTCTAATTTCAACTAGCCCACGAAATTGAGCAACACATCCAACATTGTTTTCAGTGGGTCACTATCTCACAACAGACCTGGTTGAACTCCACTGATCATTGCTTCTCGTTAGGACTCCATGAAATACCTCTTTGGGACAGTCATTAGTGAACATATGATGACAAGTGACTCATGAATTCAACTATTAAATTAATATAATATCCACCCAAACCCCTCTCTGATTATAATTTTCTAATCACTTTTAATTATCTTAATCATTAGCTGTTTCTGCATCGTTTATTACTCTGAGCCTTATTAGTATCGGGAGATTGATAAATTTTTAAATTAACTAAGTTCATTATTGCTTCGATATCTCACTAACATCAAACCAAATGTGATGCTCAAAAGTATACAATTTGAAAATTTTTAAAAGCATACCTTCTTCTGAAGCAGTAAAACCACTGCTTGGACCTTGAGAATGTGATATATTTTCATGGACTAAAAGAGGTGATTGTCTGTAAACAGAATCAGTGCCTTGTGAACTAGGTTCCGATTGATGTCCATGACCATATCGTTGTCCTCTTTTAGTTTGTGGTAAAGTACTTAAAGCACTTTTACTACGAAATACATTACTATTTCTATTTTTATTACATCCTGTATTAGATGAAGAATTAACATGATCAATATCAGTATTTTCTAAATTAGTATATTCCAAATCATGAATAATTTGAGTTTGAGGTTTTAAAACATAATCTTGTAATGTTGCTATTTCATCACTATGAAATCGTGCATGATATGTATCTTTCAATAAATTCTTTTGTATATTTTTATTTAAATCAGTATTAGAATTAATCTCTGTAAGATGTGCATCTTCAAAACTTGCTTGACGTTTAGAATCTGTAAATGGACTAAGTTTTGCAGTAGTTGTTCTAATTGTTCGTTTACTACTTAAATTACTTTTATTCAATTTAGCTATTTGATTAAATTGTTGTGCTATACTTTCTGGTATAACATTTGAACTTAATAAATTTACAGTAATCAGATCAATTTTAGGACTACAAATAGGTGTAGAAGTTGTAGTTATCATATTAGTAGTATTTGTTGTTATATTAGTAATAACAGAACTAGTAGTAACTATTGTTGTTGTTGTTGTCGTCGTCGTTGTCGTCGTCGTCATCGTCGTCACACTAGTATTGACAGTTTCTACATTAGAACAATTCTCATCAAAACTTGTCATTATCAATTTAGATGATTCATTGATTTCTTCTTTTGAATATTCTTCTTTATTCATCACATCATCGTCATCATGACTATTCATTAATGATTTACCTAAATCATATAAAATTTTATCTGATATACTATTTGAATTCGAATCGGTTAAAGTAGTAATAAATTCTTTTCCTAATATTTCATTAGATGTATTTGAATTCCCTATAGCTAATGGAAGATAATATATATGTTCTGTTGATTTCTCCTCTTTATGATTATATTCCAAATCATCATCATCATCATCATGATCTTCTTCTTCTTCAAGGACAATATTAAATACTTTTATATTAGATGTATCATTTTGTTGAAATACTAATTCATTATTGATTTGTACACAATTATTTTGTTCTGGAATAGTTTCTATAGTATTATAGTCTTGAGTATTATTATTATTATATAATTGTTGATCATGTAATGTATTTATAATATTGATTGATTGATTTTCTTTAGAACTTTTTGTATGTTCTTCTAAATTTGTTGCTATGGGATCAAAATTTTTATTTAATTCCTCATTCATTCTATTTTCATAACATGATACATATATATATATATCTCTATAATTGTTATATTAAATAGAATAATTGGCATTCAATAGTATAAAATATCATTGAATTATAAAGTTTGTGTTTGTTTTGTTCTGTTCTGTCCTGTTCTTTTTTTTTGCTCATTTATTCGATGAAATAGTGCTAGATCTATCAAATGTTTGACGTAGAAAGTTTTCTATTATCTATCGAATGTTGTATATTTGAAAGAAGCAAATAACAAACTGAATTTATCCTAATTGTATGTGTATACAAGAGTGTGTATGTGTGTGTAAGAGAGAGAGAGCACATAGGAGTGTGCTTGCGCGTGCTCGTGCGCGTATGCTAGCGACAACGAGAGAGAGAGAGAGAGATGAACACACCCTATCCATATAGATATTCAAGAAAAGTAATCAATCAAAAGTGAAGTATAACCAAGAAAAAAACAATAAACCAATTAGAATTCATGCTTGTGTGTATGTATATGTGTATATATATGTGTGTGCGTAAAATATTTTCCCAATTGAACGCCTACTTGTTTAAAATAGCACAATATGTTATGTTATGTTTTAAATCATGTGAATTTATAGTGGAAATTTCTGATTAGTTAATGTAATGATAGTTTGTTAATGAGAAAAGAAAAAGAAGATAAACAACGGAAAAAAAAAGAAGAAAGAAAAATGAAATAAAACTGTTTATCCTATCAAAAGAACAGTGAGAATTTGTGTATATAATCTATATATAGGTGTGTGTATGTGTTTGTGTATGTACGGATAGTATAAACCATGAACTTTCAATGAGTTTTCTGATAGACAGAAATGAATAGACATGTGTAACTTTTGTGTCTACCAGACAATTTATTTTGGTGTTTTTTTGGTTGTTGTGTAGAATGATGTAGGATAATCAAATTACTTTGTATATATTATTACTGGTTAGCGTTTTTTTAGCGAGTTAGTTTTTCCACGGGATGGGGTCGCTAACCCCATGCCCAACCCTCCTCCTTTATCCGGGCTCGGGACTGGCAATGGCCCCCAGAGGGACTCCAGACGGAGTTGCATGTATTATTACAAATGAATATTCCATTTCCTGTTAATTGTGTGTGTTATAGTGCAAGTGTGAACTATGTAATTCTAAGTGAATTATTATTCATAGTGATAGATGAATAATACGTCGGTTTACTGTTAAATGCTTTATTTTTTAATTATTAAACCTGTTGATCAACACTGTTTAATCACTTTGTAGGTAAAGATGATGTATTTATATAATTGTATTATGTGAGATATATGACCTGTTGCATTGAATCAATAAAGCCAGTCTAATCAGTACTTCTTATACGTCACAAATGATTGATCAATGGGTGGCGATCAATGTCATGCGCGTCTAGTCGTTATTAGTGCGGATCGAATGCTATCGACCACGTTGCAATGTGCCCACCAGTCTAGGAGACTCGACATTCCGGGCACTATATCTTGAGATTAGATGGTGCATTCGATCCGCACTAATAAGGACTAGACACGCATGACATTGATCGCCACCCAGTGATCAATCAATTGTGATTACATCTCAGTCCTACAGGAGGTCGATCGCGGCTCGGATAGCTCAGTGGTAACGTCTCTAACTGTGAAGCTGGGTGACACGGGATCGAATCCGCCAGGGAGCACCAGTTCCCTCAAGAATACAGGTACATCTTTCTGACGAGCGCCAAGTAGCACGAAACCCGAGTCCAGGGTTTCCTATCGACTACCTCCAACCACCATCTAACTTCTTATACGTCTTTTATAATACATGTCACTCCTCGTGGAGGAGCATAGGCTGCCCACTAGTACTCGCCATCCAACCGTGTTTTGGCCAATCTTTCCCATTTGTTATTCATCCTTTTCATATCTGTTTCTAATGAGAATTGAAGCTGAGTAAAGTAAAGTGAACAAAGGATTCAATAAAGAAAATAGGATTAAATACTTGAAAAGATTTTTCATTTCGAAGATAGTTGGTATCAGGAAGTGATTTCAGCTCGATAATTAGTAAAAACCAAGGAGCATTTGATAGGGCTTCCATTTAGTTTATAGTTAGTGGGCAGTAATTATATATAAAGTGAACTAGTAAATGATAATCTGTTCAAAAGTTTGGAGGGTCTAACAGGTAATGATGTAATCAGCTTGTTTGATAAGGAAATGACGTTCAAATGTGTAAAACATCACTCAAATTGCACGTATTTTGTAGACTAAAATAGAAATGACTCCAGAAACATCGTTAAAAAAAAGGAAATGAGCAAGTAGGTCATCCATAATGGTTTAAAAAGTGGAGACCAATCCTGTTATTGAAATTATCTGACGAATAAATAACTTGCCTATTTCTGAATGCTTGGAAAGAAAACAGAGATGACTCTACATAGATCAACCAAGAACGATCAAGCTGATCAAACAGCCACATAAATAAACAGAATAATTGGGCGTACAAATCCACAGCCATGACCTTCATACAATAAATTAATATGTGTTTGTGATATTTCCTAGACTTCAAGTGCTGGTTCATTTATAACTATATAAGTATATTAGGGAAAAGGCTAGGAATTTCTATCTCATATAATACAATTAATAATATTACGTTACATTACTTTTAATGGATACTGATGTTTGAAAGTGCTTCAACCACTTTTCATTATTTCCCTTTGTCAGCGGTGTGTCATTCTTGTAGTATTTAGATTACAACTTTGTTTGATTCCATTTTATCTCGGAGACTGATTTACACAAACGGTTTTACCCCATTGATGTTGTTTAACTTTTCAACAAGTATGAGATACACAATCTACCAAGAAGTCATACTAGATTTCAAAGTGAACAGAGTTTTCAAGCGGACTGTCAGAGAGAGATACATTCATAAATCTTTCCATGATTGCTGAAGGAAAAATGGTCTAGATGAATGTTGTCGCTTTGAGATGAGTGAAGTAATTCCCTCCTAGTTTTTTTGGACAACGTTTTACCCCCTCTTTAATCAACCAAGTCAAAAAAGACCTTAAAATTTTGATCTTATCATTTATTGCACGACACGGAGACCAAGCGGAAAGCAAATTCAATCTACTGAACGCACAAACGTTTCACTATTCATTATAGGAAAATATAAATTGCCTAGATAATGCCTAGATAAAATACATGTCGAAGTGGTAGCGGTAAATAAGTCCCCAAAATCAATAGCCCTATAAGTAATTTCAGTAGTTGAGATCATGAGTCTGTAGTGACTCACTTTTATCACGAGAACACGACTGGTTTATTGAAAACAATTATTATTATAACCAATTGTACCAATGACTGTTTTAATGTGCTTTTGTTTAACTGTGCTAAAAAGCATCGATCATCCTTACACTTTGATTGATTGTATCCTGGCACGATCTCGGTATCCTTTCGATACCACGAGATCGCCAGTGAATATATCTCGATTTGGTCCATTAATTGCCTTCTGATATTTGGCTTCCGGTGGATTTTATGGATTTATTTGTCACGCGTTCCTTTGTAGCGGTGTTCATAGTCAATTTCGACTCGACTCCACGCTACAAGTCAATTGAAGCTAAATCACCATGGAAAACCCCGAAGCACTGGACGGCCGTTTCGTCCTATTGTGGGACTCCTCAGCAGTACGCATCCACGATCCCGCCCCGCGAAACTCGAACACAGGACCTATCAGTCTCTTTAAGTCTTCAGCATTTGATGCTGACCACATTAGTTTTAATGGACTCACCTAGCTGAAGGCTCTCAGTCACGCATCTGCACAAGATCACTAGTGAGTACGCTGTGCTTCACATCTCCTACAACTGCTAGCTTAGATTAGTCACTTCTCGATATATCGATATTCTATCAAATATATCTTCGAAATTCTTCGCTTCTGACTTCTGGTTTCACTGGGTCGACAAGTGTGACTGGTGATACTGGTTAAGGTGTTGTCAAACTCCGAATCCTTGTGGCATCAATAAGCTAACCTTATCTTATGGATATAATATTTTCATCCTAACAGCAGGTAATCGATAAACGCTTAACATTTTAGCATCTGGCGTTACAAGTTCTTGTTATTTTTGTTCGTATGCTCAAGTTTATTTCGATTTGAAAAAAATTACCATTGTTTGAGTTAATGAAGCTAGATGTGCCTTTATAATTAGTGTTTCAAAATGAATTCCTAAAAGGTTTAACTCCAATTGTCCTTATAGTGAATACATTGACTGACGCTAAGATTTCCAGCTAGAGTGTTCTCTATTAACACTCACTGTACATAGCATAGTTCCTTAGTTGCGATAATCCCACTGTGTTGAATAGATAACTGGGAGTTTATATTTGGTTGTAAATAGGTACACTTATTCTAAGGCAGTATGATTACTAGAACTATCAGCTATCACAGTACCAGGAAGCAGTTTGGCTGAATATTTAGAATGACAACTAGTAAAGAGATGAAAACAGTCAGAACAAGTAAATGATTAGTTTCCACAAACAATGTGACCTTACAAAAGTACGAGACTAATAGACAGACTGAGTCATAAAACACTACATCAAAGTCCCATGGTTAAAGTAGAGTTAAATCTGGCATAACTGGAGAAAGTTTGATCGCATCGAATATTATTGTAAACAATTTACCAATGTCAGACTACCACGATCAAAAAATAGACATTTGAATATTTATAAAAAAGTTGTCGCATTCATTTATGGCTTCTTAGCAGATGATCATACAAGAGTTCAAACCGGAAAATTGTTAAGAATTATATAAAGAACAATGAAATCGTCCAATACTGATCATTTATACTTAAAATAATCCCAGGGTCAAAGGAACAACGAAATCTCCATCCGAAGTCACTAGAGTAGAACCCAAAATTTCTCTAGAAGACAGAATGAAGAAAAGCCACCCGGGCCAAACTGGAAATCTGTCTTCAAAACGATGAACAAAACTTCCGGTTGGTAGATCTTCGAATAATCAGCCCTTGGGAGCGAATACTACTGGAATGATAGAGCTTATCCCA